AAGGAAAAAAAAAAAGTGAGTCTATAGCAATCACTACATGGTCTGTGTAAATTACTGTCCTGGTTTCAGCTGGGATGTAGTTAACTGTCTTCCTAGTAGCTGGTACAGTGCTATGTTTTGAGTTCAGTATGAGAAGAATGTTGATAACACTGATGTTTTCAGTTGTTGCTCAGTAGTGTTTAGACTATAGTCAAGGATTTTTCAGCTTCTCATGCCCAGCCAGGGCAGCTGACCCAAACTGGCCAACAGTGTATTCCATACCATGGGATGTCCCATCTAGTTTAGGAACTGGGAAGTGGGGGGCAGGGATTCGCCGCTCGGGGACTGGCTGGGTGTCGGTCGGCGGGGGGTGAGCAATTGCCCTGCGCATCATTTGTACATTCCAATCCTTTTATTACTACTGTTGTCAATTTATTAGTGTTATCATTATCATTATTAGTTTCTTCTTTTCTGTTCTATTAAGCCGTTCTTATCTCAACCCACAAGTTTTACTTCTTTTCCTGATTTTCTCCCCCATCCCACCGGATGGGGGGGGGAGTGAGTGAGCGGCTGCGTGGTGCTTAGTTGCTGGCTGGGGTTAAACCACGACAATTACAAATATAAGCAGTAAAAAAAACCTGTCAAAAGCAACAAGTCAGTCTTTGTAGTTGTACAATATTATAGTCCCAATAAAGTCTTGATTTCCCAACTATTTGCTGCATAGTCAGGTTGTTCCAGTAGTTGTGTTGTTTTCATCTGTGATCCCTGATGCAAAATGGCAGAGAGATAAGGTGTTAATTTCTGTGGCGGAGAGATAATGTGTTAAGTTTACTCTCTGGCTGTTCGTTGTTACATAACAGTTGATATTTCTGTATGTGGCAGGGATGATGAAAATTTGAGTTGGAGTGATGAGTGTTGTGTAGTCGGTGTTAAAGTGCTTACTCAAAGGCAGCTAGTAAAATGGATTGACTTTTCTACATGTTCTTTTACAGCAAAGGGCTGGCCTGCCCACAGAGATCTCCTGGGTCTGAGAGCCAGTCTTTTGTTTTCCAAGTTTTGCATTTACTGCCTCATCTGATATGGGACAGTAGAAATTCCAAAAATGCCATTGTGCTCTAATTGACTTAGCAATTTTGCACTACTTATTTGCTTCCATTTTTATGCCCATGTTAGCTGTTTCATGTAAAGTAGCTTTTGGCAAAAAATATTTCTGTGTTTTGCATGAAGTACCTAACCAGTACCTTTTTATGGAGTATTCATGTGTGGTAGCATCTGCAGCAGACACAAGCACTTGTGATGTAAAAAGGTTAAGCTGATAAATCAGTAAAATTTTTTGGTGCAGCATTGGTTCAGCAAGAATGTTTTATGTCCTTGGGGTAATGTCAGCTTCAGGGCTGGTGATGCAAATATGCTACACAGGTGTCTCTAAGTTGCCAGATGCATTCTGTTGGCAGTGTACAAACCACATTCAGGTGGTAAGAGGAAAGATTTGTATTTGGTTCCCCAGTCCTGTTGTTACCCATCTGGAGATGGGGCAAGTGTCTGGTTTGTGTATGCACACATACACAGTCAGAAGTGCCAAGGCACAGATGTTCAGAAAGCCTCCAGGAATTTAGGATAGTGTACTTTGCAGGACAGAATACTGAGGCAGGGAGTCTTGGTCTAGAAAGATGTAGTTGTATTTTAAATATTCAAGATTTACATTGTGAGAGTGTAAAGGCCACAGGTGAAGTAAGCCATGATGATTGGAGCCCTGGTATTAAAAATTAATGAACTATAGAATTGCAGAACAGTTGAGGTTGGAAGGGAGTCTGAGGATCATCTAGTCCAATACCCTGCTCAAAGCAGGGTGAAGTAGAGCAGGTTGCTCAGGGCCATCTCCAGTTTCATTTTGAGTATCTCCACCTCTGGGTAACCTGTTCCAGTGTCTGACCACCCTCAAAGTGAGGAATTTTTTTCCGATATATTTTCTGATGGAATTTCCTGTATTTCAATTTGTGCTCGTCATCTCTTGTCTTGTCAACTGAAAAGAGTCTGTCTGTCATCTTTATGTCCTTGTCTTGGGCAACCTGGAACTGCACTCAGCACTGGAGATACAGTCTTAGCAGTGCTGAGTAGAGGGGAAGAATTGCCTCTCTTGTCCTGGTGACATACAGCCAAGGATACGTTTGGCTTTCTTTGCAACATGGGCTTATCGCTGGCTCAAGTACAACTTGTCCACCACGGCTCACTTTTCTGCAAAACTCCTTTCTAGCTGGTCAGCTCCAGTCTGTACTGGTGCATGATGTTGTTCCTTCTCGGCGCAGGACTTTGCGTTTCCCTTTCCTGAGATTCCTTTTGGTCCATTTCTCTGCCTTGTTGAGGTCCTTCTGAATGGCAGCACAAGCATCAACCACTCCTTCCAATGTTGGATTGTGTGCAAACTTGCTGAGGATGTTCTCTTGTGTCATCATCTGGTCTTAAGGTGTAGAACAGAATTGGCACCAGATTAAAAAAAAACATCCACAGCTGTCCCCTCATCTACCAAGAAAGTCATCTCAATGTTATAAAGTTGGGCAGGTGTGATTTCCCCTTTGTAAATCCATGCTGACTACTTCCAGTCACTTTTTTGTCCTTAGTACATTTCGAAGTGGTTTCCAGGAGGATTTACGCCATCATGTTCTCAGACATCAAGGTGTAATTCCCTGTGTTTCTTTCTTGCCCTTCTTGAAGATAGAAGTGACATAAAGGGTTTTAGTAATTGTATGGGGAAAGAAAAGAGGGAATTATCCTTCTTGTACATGTTTTCTGTGACACAGGGCTGAGACAGCTCATATTGCAGTGGTGAAGCATATTTTCAGTCTGGGGATCCCTGGGTTTTAACTTTCAAAGCAGCAAAACTGGAATGGACACATTACTCATTTATGAACTCCATAAAGTTAGTTATATCCTGACAGAATAGCTTCGTAATGTTAACTAGTGACTTTGCTGTAAAGTTTTTCTGTGTGTAAAATACTGATGTTTTCTGTGTCAGGTGTTGAGATTTAATTTGGTGGTTGTTACAAGAACTTTACAACCTTTGCACAGAAATTGGAAATGCTGTCTTACATTGCATCTGGAAGCCCTTTCTAATGTATGCTTAAATTTAACCTGTCAAAGTTTATCAGAGTAAAAACCTGGAAGATTTGGTCCGTTAATATTCTTGCCAGGTGGAAAAAAAATTAATTGGTTTTAGTGGGTTTAATTTGGCTAGCTGTCCTCTGTCAAGAAAATCTTGGATTTTAATATCTGATAAACAAAAATAGTTAAATGGGGAACTTTCCAGACAATACCGAAATACATAATTTTCCCAAATATTGCAGTTTGATGCATGAAATTATTTCTATTCTAAATCAGGCATAATTTTAGTCTGTTAATGAATACTTGGTTTATGTTGGATGCCTTTAGGAAATTATCATCAAAAATGCTAAGTAGTTGAGAAATTCTGAGTTTAAAAAAAAATCCTGGATGAGGGCCAGTTGTCATGAGAGGTTACCTTGGGCATTGAGCTAGTCTGAAAGTTCCTGTTCAGAAACTTCAAATCCTGCTTTCCACCTAGGTAGTCCTTGCCAGCTGGTACCGCATATATACTGCCATTATGGATTTCCTTGGTGTACCGACAAAGACGTGTTGGACTGTAAACAGAGGAAAAGGGCTTAGTCCTGTTGAAAGCTGTGAGGGTGAGTTGTGTTTTATTCTAGTTTCTTCCTGGAAGCATGTAATTGTGGCGTTACATATTTCGGAAGTAATAAATACTCCTGTGTCTTTATCACTGACATGCTTTCATTTGGCTAAGCCTGTGTTTTTGGCAGGTTCATGACATAAGTGAGAAGCATGGAAGAAAGATACTTTTAAGAACACAAGGGGTGAGAATGTGGGCTTTGCTTTTTAGATGGCTCCTGCTACCTACTTTGAATTCCTATACTGCACTTCAAAACTTCACAGTTGTAGTCTGAGCCTTCTTAATGTTGGACTGTTATAAAGAATAAGATGTCCTAAATGTAACTGGAGGCCACTGTACATGTATTAAATTTTTGTAGCTTCTGTAGGATCCCCAATACATTCCAAGTTCCTATATTTAAAAAACTTACCTTCTGTATTTCCTCCTATAGCTGCAACTTGAGGAGTGGGGAGGAAAGGGAAAAAGGTAACCACAGGGTTCCCTTTTGGAGAAATCTTGTGTAGTGATTCTGCTGGAAGGAATCCTCTTCCTCTTGTGACCTGTTCAGCATAAAAATTTCAATCTTATACCTTGATTTTCATACCAAAGCTTGGACACTGTGACTTTTTTTTTCTTTTTTTTTTCTCCACATTTAAAGTATTGGCTTGTCAAGTAAGTATTATGCAATAAAAGTACCTTTGAGAAGCAATTTTGGGATGTTCTACAGTTGGTTAAAGCTGAATGATAGATGGTAGCTTGTGAAGTTGTTTCATTTTATAATTTAAAATGTCTTTGTGTGGTGACAAGTTCGTATTTTTCCTTCGCCCAAAGGCTGTAAGAACTTTCTTCAGAGCTTGAATGATTCACTTTCTCTAGTTTTGTCAAAAGCAATAAACAGTGAATAAATTAATTTCTGTATTATGTAAAAACCAAAGCCAAACCAACAAAAAAACCAACTACTGAGACTGCCACATTTGGTGAGCATATTATCTTACTTTAGAGAACTGTCTTGCTGTATTTTCAGCAATGGTGAATAATCATTTCTGCATACAAAACTATGAAGTTTTGCTACCTTCTCTATAACGAATGAGGCTTTTTATGCTGTACTGCTGAAATTATTAGAGCCAGGAGGGTTTAAAGAAATAATGGGAAAGAGAACAACAACAGAAGTGTGAACACAGAAGTGTTTGTGAATGAATAAATTGAAAGACTTGCATTATTGGAAAATCTCTTGGCTTCTGATGAAACAAAGAAAGCAAAGAGCATTGTGTGCGATATGTTTAAAGATGGATTTACTCCTGCAAGTAATGGGAAGTGAGTACAGGGAATAGAACCTGTTCTAAAAAGCTCTATGAAGTCAAAACGTAGTCTGTAGAAAATGTTCTTAGTGATGCTTATGCCTTTTACACGTTGCAGGTTTTTCTTTACAGTTAATGCTTCCCTTTTGGCCTGTTCTGTTGCTTACTGTCCCAATGCTGTGTACGCCTCTTGTCTTTTTTTTTTTTTTTTCTTCAGAAGTGTAGTCTTCAGTCTTCTGATTGAATCTCCACAATAATCTTAGTGATATTAACTTTTTTGTTGTCTCTTTCCGTAGATGTATTAAGGTAGTATGCTGTGTATTATACTGATTGTATGGTCGTTTATAAGCAATATGATCTTTCTTCTATATTTGACAACACGTGTTAACTGTTTGTTAGGCTTGGGAGACCCTGCTTCCTTTTACGTTGCTGTGATTTTTCTTTTGAATGGATTGATGATGTCACTGTTCTTCATATACGGTACATACCTCAGGTAAGGCAGTTGAGACTGAGCTATTTAGTTGGTACTAGCTGTCAGATTTTATATGAGTTTAGAAAAAGTGAATACTAAAATATTTTTATGGGATATTGCTTATTTGTACAGTAGTAGTGCTTTTTATTACATATACATTGTCACTAAAAAATTACTGGAACAGAGGAGCTTGTTGCTTAAAATAAATGGTGATGCTAGAAAAAGTTGCGGAAAATTTCAGTGACGTGGTATCTCATTGATACCACCAGATCATGGATAAAGCTAAATGCTGTACAGGTTTTAAATGGCTTTTGACAGGTTTCTGCTCTTAAAACTACCAGTGTAACTCATTTTCAAACAAAGTTTGAATGACAGTATACTTTTAACAAAGATTGGAGTTTTCCCAATGCTTTGCCTCAAGTCATGCTGCATGTCTTTAATTTTTAACTTAACTGAGAAGGCAAAATATTTTTTGAGATAATGCATTCCTTTGGAGATATGTATACACTTCCCTTTTTCTATGAATTTCTGTTTTCAGTATCTGTCCTTAAATTTCAAGAACTGTAATACACTTTCATACAAAAATAGACTCCACATTCAGCAGAAAAACAGAAGCGGAAATATTTTTCTGTTTACCTCTATTTTCATTTGTTGGTTTTGCAAAAAAGCAAAAGGCCTGCTACATTTTCCTCTGAGACATATGATTGTTTTTCCCCCTCATTCCCTGGCTTCACTGTCTTGTGTTTTTTTCCTGCTCTCTTTGAAGCATGTGCTGATAGTTCAAATAAAGAATAGTACAGGGCAGGAGCTGACAGTGAAATAGAGGAAGTTGCCTAGTGTGACTATTAGGTGGTTGGGGGTAAAGTGGGTATGTTTGTATTCCTTAACTTAGGAAATTAATGTCTCATGTTTTGAGGAAGTAGATAAACTTTGAATATTTGTATCATTAACTTGTCATTTTTCTCTTAAGGAAGGTGTATGGAAACCCACATTTTATATATTAATGTCATTGAAAAATCAGTAAGGTCTTAATTTCTCTGTACTTTCCTTAGACTTGGGCTGTGTTGAATGTAAATAACTATCAAGTATTGATAGTAATTCAGTTTTTGATATAAATTTTCTGCAATGTAGGTAGTCAAGATGACTAGAATATAAATGCAGTTCTTTCAAGGTGTAGCCACTAGCTATCTGGGGTTATGAAAAATAACAAGTGACTACGAAGTTTCCTGTAGGTAGGACTTTGATCTTATTTATTTATTCTGAAGAATATTCATAGTTGGATACCAGATCTAGATGACTACTTAGTCATTATGGCTGTTCCAAGGTTCCTCTTAGTCAAAGCAAGCCAGAATATTTAGGCTTTTCCATAAGGTATGAAAAATAAAAGAACTGAATCTGGAGTAATGCAATTCTACTACACTGAAGTAGGTAATCCTATGAATTGGCATAAGTCTCATTCATTAAAGCTGGTTTCTTGCTGCCCTGCATTTTGAAAGACTTTTTCATAGCCTGACTAATTTGATGGTGGGAAACTATCCTCTAATGTTTTCTCTATCTTTTCATTCCTGGATTTCTTACCAATAATCATCTCAAGCTTACATAATGTTTTTTTCTAGTTTTTTTGTCTCCTTATATATTCATAGAATGTGTCATCTTTTTATTTCAGCCTTTATTTGCTTTTAGTCTCTGCAACTTTGAGTAGTGATGGAAGGTGATAGGATAGTGGAAGACCACTTTCTTATTGCTATTTTCCAACCTAGCATGTGTCCTCACATCTGTGCTCGCTGTACTTGATGATGAGCTTGTTCAAAGAGTTAAGGTAGCAGAAAGCTAGTTGCTTTTGTAGGACTAGTTTTCTGTTGTAGGACTAGTTTTTGCTGTTTAACTTCCTTAACCAATTTCCTTGCAAGGTCAGAAGATTGCCAGGCATAGTATGTCCCTGCCCTAGCATTATGGTCTCTGGTTATGCAAATGTACTTTGGAATCTTCTTATGTGATGCAAGTTAGTCTCAAGCTCTGGAGCATTCTCTGTTAGGATAACTGAAGCAATATGGTGAGAACTCATGCCATTTTTTTAGTTTTTTTTTTAATGGACGAAGGAATGGCATTTCAATGATAAGTACTTTTATGCAATTGTAAGATTCTGCCTCCCCCAATCATCCCTGCATCTCTATTCTTGTAGTCAAGGGACAGACTACTTAAGCCAATTGTCAAATACTGCATCTTGAGGAACTACCAGTAAATTTCCCATATCTCCTTCCAACAGTACTTTTTCAGTATTTTGTTTCTTGCATGTTAGTCAACAATGAATTACAGATGACTTTAAGCTTCAGCTTATTGTAGCCAGGGAATCAAAAAATGAGTTCTTTCATTATTCCCGAGCTGACTCTACCAGACAAAGTGTAACTGTTCAGGTCATCTGCAGTTCTTTAAAAATTACTAATTATTTATTAATTTTAGATTATTCTGTATTAAACATGGGGGAAGTAGGTTCCAACTGAAAGGCATGTATGTCACCAATTGTAGTATGTTATGGGAGTTTCAGTGGAAAGAGTTATCCTTTGTCTTTTATATTGGCATAGAAAGGCTTAACTACTGTATCTCCTACATGATAGCATTGGACTGTTAGAAGATAACCAGTGTAACTCAACACTGTACATAACCCTCTGTGAAATAGGCTCTGTTCACTTCCTTTTCTGGAAAAGGTACTGACAAGGTGCATTTCCCTATTCTGTGCTACAGATCTACTGATCTCATCTGGTAAAATAGTGATCCCTTATAGAGGCTGATAGCTCTAAAGCATTCATAATACAATTAAGACCTTTGTATTCTAGACTTTAGGGTTTTATCACAATGTTAAACTTTAGCATAGACCTTGAATTTTGTTTCTAGTTTTGTGTGGTATTTTGCAAATTTTTAGTTTGCTTTGTTTCCAGGACTAACATTTTTTAATATTAATCACATTCTTGTAGTCATTTTGGGTTTCAGTGTTGATGCTTTTAGAATTTGTGGGATTAAATATCAAGTTTTATGTGCAATAATGCACAATTCCTGGGGATTGTTTTAGCACTCAGTTGGTATCTTTGACCCTCAGATTTTGTACCCAGAACTTGCTGATTCTGTTTGACTTTTATATTAATGATGGGTGAAGGATCTGAGAGGATCTCAACTGATGTCATCTACCTAGACTTGTGCAAGGCATTTGGACACTGTCCCACACAACATCCTTGTCTCTAAATTGGAGAGACATGGATCTGATGGATAGACCACTTGGTGGATAGGGAATTGCCTGGATGGTCATTCTCAAAGAGTTGCGCTCAACAGCTCAACATCCAAGTGGAGACCAGTGACAAGTGGCATTCCTCAGGGGTCGGTATTGGGATGTTTAACATCTTTGTTGGCAACATGGACACTGGGATTGAGCGTGCCCTCAGTGAGTTTGCTGATGACACCAAACTGTGTGGTGCGGTTGACACACTGGAGGGAAGGGATGCCATCCAGAGGGACTTTTGAGAGGTGGGCCCCTGTGAACTTCATGAAGTTCAACAAGGCCAAGTGCAAGGTCCTGCACATGGGTCGGGGCAATCCCAAGCACAAATATAGGCTGGGCGATGAGTGGATTGAGAGCAGCCCTGCAGAGAAGGACTTGGGGGTGTTGGTTGACAAAAAGCTCAACATGACCCAGCAATGTGAGCTTGCAGCCCAGAAAGCCAACCATGTCATGGGCTGCATCAAAAGAAGCATGACCAGCAGGTTGAGGGAGATGATTCTCTCCCTCTACTCTGCTCTCGTGAGACCCCACATGGAGTACTGCATTCAGCTCTGGGGCCCCCAACATACGAAGGACATGGACCAATAGGAGTGAGTCCAGAGGAGGGCCACGAAGATGATCAGAGGGCTGGAGCACCTCTCCTGTAAGGATAGGCTGAGACAGTTGGGGTTGTTCAGCCTGGAGAAGAGAAGGCTCTGGGGACACCCTATAGCAGCCTTCCAGTACTTAAAGGGGACCTACAGGAAAGCTGGAGAGGGACTTTTGACAAGGACATGTAGTGATGGGACAAGGGATAATGGCTTTAAACTGAAAGAAGGTCGATTTAGATTAGATGTAAGGAGGAAGTTCTTCACTGTGAGGGTGGTGAGGCACTGGAACAGGTTGCCTAGAGAAGTTGTGGATGCCCCATCCCTGGATGTGTTCAAGGCCAGGTTGGATGGGGCTTTGAGCAACCTGTTCTAGTGGAAGGTGTTGGAACTAGATGATCTTTAAGGTGCCTTCCAACCCAAACCATTCTATGATTCTGTCGTCTGAAGTTTGTTGTTGGTGTTTTTTTTTTTTTTAAAGAATCTTAACAGCTGGCTGATACTTTTGTTTAGTAGCAAAAATGGTATATTCTGTCATTCATAGTAGTAGTGCCCTTGTGTGCACAAAAATGTTCTTTGTTTTATATCACAGGACATGAGTAATTGCAAATCTAGTCAAACAGCAACCTTATCTACTGCTGTTTTGAGATGGGATAAATCTAAGTAATATCTTTGGTTTTAGTGCTGACTCCATGGTGCTAATTGTTCAAAAGGTGAATTTGATTTAGGAACATATAAAAATCCTTAAGTCAAGGGCTTAAAAAACTTTCTCATGTTAACATCACAGTATTTCATGTAAGAATTAAATTGTATCTTGCATTGACCGTGTCATGAATTCATTTCTAAGTATGTTTTTTGAACGTGCTTGATTTGATTATACTAACATAGTCTTAGATTCAGACCAAAATTCCCTGTTGGGTGATTGAGCATGCAAATTGTAAAGTTTTCTGCTCAAAATCTTAGGGGAGAAATACTCCATTTATATTGCCTAGTGTTTAAAAAAAAAAAAAAAAAAAAGTTTGGCGCTTTTCAAGACCAAGCTCTGGGTTCAGCAGTTGAAGCACCAGACGTAATGTTCTAAACCAAAGTTTGAGAGGAGTGGAATAACCGTTTTCCAAGTTATTTACGTTAAAATTGGTGTTCTGCAGAAAAGAGCTGATATATGAGGAGTGGTCTGCTCTGAAATAAACATTAGCTGACTATCTAATATTTTAATATTGTATGTACACTGTAGATTGCTTTCCCTTGATTCTTGAAAGCATTCCCCACCCCCTCCTGAATGAACTTAGCTGTACATAAGTGCTACTTCACATTTTTTTAAGCAGCATTGACCAGTATGAGATTCTGTTGTACCTATTTTTCCTGTTCTCTCCACAGTGGGAGCCGTCTCGGAGGCCTTGTTACCGTGATGTGTTTCTTTTTCAACCATGGAGAGGTAGGTCTTCCTCCCCAGCCACCACCAACCTCCCTTCTCTCCCCCACCTTTTTTTTTTTTAAGTTTAAGCTAATTCTCATTTCATTAAAGGTAGTGACGTTGCTTATCTATGAGGGGATGAATTTAAAGGGAATAAGACATTACTGAAAGCAAAATAGGTTATGACTCAAATGCACAGCACAGTCCAATGTGTCACCTTAGATATTAAAAAAAAAAAAAAAAATTCAGAAAGGAAGTATATTGTATAGTGGTCCTGAGATAGAAATCTTAGTAGCACAATGACTTCAAGTTTAAAAACATCAAAATATTCTCTTTTTTTTACCCATTCCAAACATAACTGGGCTACATGTACCATATGAACAAGGTTCAGAAACGGAGGAGGTTTTCTTTAAATTGGTATGTATTTTACCAGAGACTCATGAATACATACGCACACACAAAAAACGTAAAGAAACCTCTGTAGTGCTGATATACTATAGCCACGATACACAGAATTTAGAAAATATATGTATATAGAGAATTCCAATGCTAAACTTCTTTACTAAGCTGCATTACAGAAAACAAACAAACAAAAACTGTCACTTAAAACATCTCCTTGTGTCCCCAGCTAATGCTGTTCATATCATTGTTTCATATTCTGGAAGAAAACTCATGGCTTTTATTCTGATACCCTTGGGCAGTGTTTCTGGGGTTTTTAATGTTCATTTTATGTATATATATTTGTAGAAATATTTGTTTTACTTAAAATGCAGCTGTACTGTAAAGATTTTCTAGATGGAAACTAGTTACCTTATGATTTTGTTAAGGATTAAAGTTACGTTTTGTTTTCTTATTTTACTGAGCTGAACTTGATAGAAAACTCTGAGGAGTAAGAATATGTAGTTGCACATAACAGAATCAAAGATACTTCTATTCATAGTGAACTTTGACAGTTTTCTTAAAAATCTCTGTGACAAAATAGCTATTCTATTTTTAAGTTTTATTTGAAATGTTTTTCTCTAAATATCCTCCATGAAGAATTTTCACCCATGTGGTGTTAACTGCCTGGTCCAGACCAGGTAAACCTTACAAAGTTTCTAAACTTTTTCTGGTGCTGTAAGAGGGTGAATATAAAGTTTTGTATGGGTTTCTATTCTTAATGGCATTCTGAAGTGGAGTGAATGTTCTATCCTTTGCTAGGAAATACTGATAGACTACACACTGTTTTGCCAAGTTGGCGAGGGTGAGAAGGTGTAACTTCAGAAAGGAACAAGTTGAAAATTTCAAAGATAGTGGTAGCAATAATGAAGCATTTATTTCACTATGGCACAGGCAGTTCTCCTATCCATAGGAGATTCTGTAGGAGAGCTCCTCTCTATGGATGACTTCACTTGGGAGGAAAACACAGGTAACGTGTGTATTTTGGAGAATGGCATGAAATTAGTTCTGTATAGCTCTACACAGATGTAGTCTGGGCTTAGGTAGGGCTTAAGTAGGGTAACTCTGATTCAGGCTCAGCTGTATGGATTTCTGGAGAGCAATAGGACTTACTTGCAGAGGTGCAGTGTTAGATCTCAGCTGGCTCTCTGTGTTCGTATGGTACCTAATGAAATAACTCGACGTTGTTTGTTGTGTATATAGTTACGGTAATGTGTGTAGTTACATGTATGTAGGTGGTCTAGCTTCACTGTGCTTACTGTAGAATCACACGCAAGGGTTGTGCATGCGCACATGTATGCTTAAAAAATTGTTTTATTTAACTCTTCGATATGCCTTTGATTCTGTGGAAATCATCTTGCATGTGGTTCAACAGTACATACAGCGGAGCTAGACCAGTTGCTAAAAATTTGCTTTCCTTTTCTGGAAGGTTAGGACTGAGCTACATGAGTAAGCCTGATCTGCAAGTCTTGGTATCTTGGATCCAATGCTGTGTAGAAGTGGTTAGCCTTCTGGCATTGAGCTAATGATCCTAAGGCAGTATGTTTTTATTTGTGCTGTGCTTGTGCTACTGTCTTTTAATGATTTCAAGCTTAGACAGATCTGATGTATTTATACATGCAGCAAAGTTAGTTTACAGCCTTGATAAACTATCCACAGAGTTTAGTATTACATTCCAAATATAGAAAAATAGCATGGGCTACATTAGTCAATCCACTTTTAAGGTAATGCTTCCTTTTTATGGTTGTATATGCTCATCATTTCCTTTCTGTCTTTATCTCCTCCAGTATCAAAAGATTTGGTAAATGAAGTGTTGCTGTAGTCTTGAAAAATAATCAACAAGAAGACTACACTGCTTTAGAATAATCATGATTATATTTATTGCTAATAAAAATAATTTTAACTAATCACATCTGTGCAGTCAGCTGAAGACACATTATTTATTTATATTTATGAAAGGTTTATTGTAACGGTAATCAGGGTGCAGCTTTTACAGAGAGTGCTTTTAGACAGCAAGGACTGTGTTTGATTAATATTGTGGGCTTCTGTACTTTCCATTTATTTGACACTATTTCTACACATTGATTTTACACTACTAATGTAACATATTTATGAAATAGCAAGACAAGAAGCAAGGAATTGTATAATGTTGATCATAGTGACTTCTTTGGTAAAACAGTATTTTAAAAAATGGTTTTAGGATTATAGGAAGTGAAGGAGAAGGAACATCCTGGCATCAGCGTCCTATAAGCTTTCATAGATTCATTGTGGTACATGTTAAGACAAACTACTTTTTTGTTCTGTAGTTGTAAAGAACCTACTTCTAATTTTTAGTGCAAATCTATTGATAGTCATTTTGAACCCATTTGTTTGTATGTCAAAGTTGTCCTGTAAAGTTGTAATTATTTTTTTGATTGTCAGTGCCATCTGCAAGTACTTTATAAAGAGCTGAATATAAACATTGGAGATGACAGTTACAGCTGAGCCATTTGCCATGAACCCCAATAAATTAATGAAAAAGCTATTCAGTTTGACTTCATTGTATTACACTTTGCTTTATTAGGGTTGAAGAGTGATATATATAAGTTAGCATAAGCTCTGTAAGAGCTTAATTTCATGTGTTCAATTTTACTGGCCTGTTTTGGAGGGCAGCTTCAGATTTTATACTTTCTGTGCTGTTGAAATGTTCATAACCTAGAGAACTCTAGCATAATAAAGAGTATGTTGGTTTATCCTTCAGATCCTTTCCCCACACGCTTTCTCTGTGTAAGTGTGGCAAGTCACTGCCTGAATTTGAGAATGGTTTTAGTTACCTGAAGGAGTTGTTAGTGTCAGCAGCAGAAGCAGGACAAGCAGCTGCTGTCCTGGCTTTTTTCTCGGAAGTTCTCTAGCTGCCACATTTAATTTTGGAACAGCAGCAATCTATTTTAATTAAACAGTGCATCATAGACCTCAAGTCTGGAAGCTGCTTCCTTTTTCCTCTTATTTTTTTGCTTCCTGGCTTTTTTTTTTTTTAAAGTTTGTGAGTAAAATCTCATGTAGCTTGGTTTTTGCTTTACTGAAGTATCTGTGGTCACTTATTCTGAAATATAAATGCATTGTTTTATGGAAATGTAGCGAACATTATCATCTAACCCAGTTCTTATTTTTAGTGCACTCGTGTCATGTGGACTCCACCTCTTCGTGAAAGTTTCTCATACCCATTCCTTGTGCTTCAGATGTTGCTTTTGACCTATATTCTCAGGTACCTCTCAATTTATACTTAGCTCTTTACAATGATTTAAAAAGTTGAATGTCACAGGACATTTATTTAAATGCATTTATTTAAGTATTTATTTAAGTGCCTCTCTGTGTGCTGTAGCAATGATATCGTTAACATAGAAACTTTCCTGTGGCTGTTACATTGCAGACGCTGCACCAGTAGAACTGCAGTCATGTTACTCACTTATTAAAAGGAAAAACTTTGCAACTCGAAGACGTGATTAAAATAAAAATCAGAATTACTGTCTTGGCAAATACGTATCAAACTAAAAATCAGAATTTTTGGTTGATGTCACTTCCTTCCCATGAGAAACAAGCTGATACTCCATCAATTGGTTTTGTCCCTCTTGGAGAGTGGTATGTTGGTTGCACTTAGAATAAGCCTATGCTATGCAACAGAGGATGCTATAGGCACACATAAGCTAGTAATGTTCTTGCAGTTTTCTATGACTAATTAAGTAGTCTAATTCAATGATTTAAAGCAATCTAATTACATTAATGCAGGGATGCTCTTGAGTTCATTAGCCCTGCTTTTCTGTGGTTGTTTCTGGATTGCAACATGACTGTATTATTGTCTTGCCCCTGTTTTGAAAAATAAGCATGATTGTTAATACTTGAGGGCTTTTCCACCAACTCCATTGCATCAGATTTGCAGTGTGTTTATGATTTAGCTGAACTTTGTACTTGTAACCCAGATTTTCCTTTTTAGGTCATACTGATCTATAGTTATTGATGATTAGACCAAAAATATTTTGTGCTCATCACTAACTTGTGTTTTTTAGGTGAGGAAAAGATACATGCTGTCTAGAAAAATATTTTCAGGAATAGTTTGTAGAGTGATTGCTAGATTTCGTATTAGAAAGACACCTGTTCATTTAATGCTAAATTGTGAGGTCAAACAAAAACTGAGGAAATTACACTTTTAAGTTAGGGTGATCAGAGCACATATATTCTCTACCTATAATTATGACACTTCTTGATCAGATAGATTCACTCCTGTTCTTCAAATCTTGGTACATAAAATAGTACTTGGGCTTGCTTACTGATGAGAAGTAGGTATTTAATCTGAGCGTTTCAGAGCAAGGTTCCAAAAAGGTGATAAAACATTTTAACTTTCTGCTTCTCAGTTATAATTCCTGCTTCAAGAGCAGCTCTGCTTTATGTATAGCAGTATTCCAATGAAATATAGGAACTATCTTTGAAACAGAGACTAGAACTTAAATTCTCCATTATTTGTATCACATTTGTATGATGTATTATTTAATACATTAGACTCAGGCTCAGCATGACTTCCAATAAAAGTTAATCTTGAGGCTTTCTCAAAGAAGCTGAAGGAAGTTTTACAGAATTTGGTGAGACTGCTGTAATCTGTTGTGTGGGGTTTACAGCAGAATATTTATGGTGTCTTCATCTGTTGGAGGCCACTTAGTGAAATCTGAAACATGAGATGTTTCTGAAGTGACCTCAAAGCTAACACAGGATTAAATAAGTAACACTTAGAGCAGGACATAGAGAGCGGGCTGTTTTCAGTTAAAGATGAGTTTCATGTATTTGTCATTGTCTACTGACCTGAAACCTCACTCCGGATTGCTAGCAGCAAGTTACAGAAAGTAAATATGGAAGAAATGTGAGAAAGAGGAGTGAAATAACTTTCAAATGCAAACTGTTCTGAGAACAGTTGTGATCCTAGCTGAAATGGAAATGTTTGTGACCTGACTGTAGAGTTGTTACAAGAAGGTGGACCACTGCAAGTGATGTAGGTTGGTCTGCTATATTACATGCTGTCAGGAGAAGACTTGTTTGGTAATGAGTGACTCATCAAATAGTTAAGAAACATTAAGCATCAGCACTATTGTTTTTGGAAACTGATGGAAAATGGATATTAAACTTACTTGAGCAGTGTTATTTGTAGTTGATCAATATTGCTAGCTAACTTCCAAGGTAACTTTGTTTTTACTGCATTTTCTATTGTACTTTTCAATAATATACAAACACCTGTATAATTTTACTTACTGATGCCTATTCTGTCTCTCTTTCCCAAGGATTCCGAATATTAATACAGGAAGCTTGATTGCACTGTGTGTTTCTAATATCTTTTTCATGCTTCCCTGGCAGTTTGCTCAGTTTGTTCTTCTAACACAGGTAAGACCATATTCATGTCTAAATAGCCTCTTTGTCTTATCTAGGCAAATTGACTGCTTTGTATAGACAGCCATTGAACTCACAACTGTACCAATGCTTTCCTTTTAGCCAGATTTCACTCTTGCTCTCAGGAAAGACTCACACCATTTATCACAATATTTTTCTAGTCTTAAATTTAAAAGTTGACCATTTACACCCATCAGTCTTCTGTTTCCAGGACTAAAAAATTTACATTTCTCTTAAAAGCAGCCTCCAGCCTAAGATCAGTACATTAGAACAAGTGAAGAACAAGAAAAAATTTTGTATATTGAAACACAAAAATAAAAAAGGCATTGATCTTGCATCTCTTTAGGCTATTCTAAATTTTTAAATGGAGCAGTGTTTTGCATGGCATGTAATATCTGGCATGATTTTGCATGACTTCCTATTTAATTTTGATGAGCCTGTGAGTAGTCACATAATCTTACTGTCTGAGAGTTCAGACAGTTGAGGTAACCTTAGCTAGTGTTTAAAAATAGTAAATGATAATGTCAGTAGTAGGATACTGTCATACAGCACACTTTCTTAGTGTTTAAATTGAATGAAATGTAGCCTGTTGACCGAAATCCATCTATGTCTCCATGCCTTTTCACTTGTCTATCCTACTTGAAGCAGACGTTGCTTGGTTTGAGTTGATAGTTTTGAACAATCAATACATGCTGTGGTATGCAAGTTTTCTAACTGCAGAAGAGGAAGCCATTAAATTCTGTGAAATATTCTGAGAAACTCACCACTGTTTAAGATGCTGTGCCTGAAATTTGAAATTGCAGATTCAATTCATAATTTCATTAATTTCCCATGTGACTTTTAGCAAGCTGCCTGGTCAGTGAATCTTATTTTCCTCAGCAGTAAATTATGGATGTTCCCATACCTTGCTGAAAAGTTAAGGTTAAATAATGTTGATGAATGATTTTTTTTTTTTTTTTCCGGTTTTGGAGGTTTTTTTAAAATATAAGGGTAAAAGATGATGTGTTAGTGCTGCATTTGATGACTTGTATTTTTATAAAGCTGAATACTTCTTAAATATTTGAATATGTTTGATAATTGTTATTCAGAGAACCACAATAGGTTTTCTGAAAGAAACCATTATGAAATGCCTAAGTACTTACTTAGCAAAAAAAGTAGGAATGAAAGTTAACGGGTGTTTGAATAATCACTGTTTTGTATGAATCTGTATTCTGTTAGAAAGAGTAGACTACTGCAAATTGTTTTAAATTATCTTTCACTTTTGATTCTAGATAGCTTCATTATTTGCTGTGTGTATTATGGGTTATATTGACTCCGGCAAATTACAGAAGATACTCTCTGCTCATATGGTAATACTTTTTTTTTTTAAAAAAACTTAAATCCCCTCAAACAGGTCAGAGCATCAAAAGAGGCCATTTGTCTGAAGTGTTTTCCTTAGTTGCAAGATGGTTGAAAAGATGCAATAATAAGGAATGGAGGGGCCTGGATTTGAATATTTGATCTTATGAATATTTATATCACAGTGTCAGAAACTAGGATCCCTGTGGCCCACAGGAATTTTTGAACTCCAGAAAAATTATCAACCTAAAAGATTTGTAGAAATATTTGCCTCTCCTTTCTGTCATTTTTCATTCCATGGACTTGAAGATACTGTCTCAAACAACAGACTAGAAAACATACCAGATAACAGAGCATGAGCAATAAAAAGTTGAAAAGGTAGTGTTCATCTTATGCCAGAAACAAAAAAAATGAGATGTTAGTAAGTCAAAATTAGAGAATAGACTCTTTATCATTGAAGGAGAAGAACCCCAATTGAAATTGTGTTTCAAAGACTACTGTAGTCTTGACCGTGCAAAGATGTTGTGGTTGAACTATTTGGGGAGATATTTAGAAAGGAGGACAAAGAAAATAAACTATTAGTCTGAGGAAAAACTATTTTTTCAAAAATGGGTGAGAAAGTCAAGAAAGGAAGGAGATCGTAAGTAGAAGTCATGCAAGTTTCTGCATAATATATCTGATTTTCATTTTTAAAGTTGAGATAATGATCAAGTTTTGCTACCAGGAGTTTTGCTCTTTGAAGTGAGATTACAGTTTTAAATATACAGGAAGATGTAAACTACTTTTTTTAAGAAATAGAGTTTTCTTTAAAAATATTTTTTTTCTAAAATTGTGCTTTGCAAACTTAGTGGGCAAAAAGAGAATGTTTACAACAGGAAAGAAGCTTTGAGCTAAATTTATTTCATATGTTTTCAAATGTATTTTGAAATACTGTAAATGATAAACTAAAGGCAGTAGTAGGTTCTATGCAATTGATTTGTGATAGAAACCCAGGATGCCAAAGGCTTTTTCCCAGTCAGATTTACCAGGAAAATTTGCAAATAAGCATCTTGGGTTAGTAATTTTTTGACAGCAGCAGGATGAAATACTTAAGCCTTTTGGCTTATGTCAATAGCGATATCATAATTTTGGTGCCAAAATGTCATAAAAAGCCTATTTTCAGGTAGATAAACAATCATGTTATATTACAGAGAAGGCTTAATGAGGCTGGGTAAACTGCCAGTCTTCGTTTTGTGGTGTTCTCAGTTTTTGCTCCCCCCCCGACTTTTCTGTGCAATATGAAAGTCTAACTATGTGAGGAGGGGAGTACAAAAGTCTGCACATTTTACAAATAACTACATTATTTTTCCTTATTCCCGTGTATAGAAGATGACGGTTTGATCATTGATTTTGCTTTCCAAGTTAGAAAATGTAATTCAGCTTGCTTTCTATTAAAAAGAAAGCACAGCAGGAGATCAGGATGGCAGATAAAAGTTGTATTTCAGCCTTGACTTTCAACTTCATATAGTTAAGTGCATATGATCAAACAGAGTTCTGCTTCCTTGACTTTGGTGATTATATTTTAAATATATGCTTTTCAGTTTGGTAGAAAGAAGACGTCAAACATTTTATTCAACATTTCTGTGTTTGTCCAGGATTCTGAAAAATAACAAGCAGGATGGAGAAATAATACAATAATTTGGAAAAAAAAGAATGTTAGGAATAACTTCAAAAATGTAGCTGTTACATCATGTAAGATGAGTTAGTCCTATGATCAAATCTTTTTGTCTATAAGTACTTTAAAAGTATAAATTAACATAATAATCTACACTTGGCTACCTGTTGCCGTTAAGTCCTTATAATCAGTATTTTCAGAACAATTCTGTAAGCTGGGTATCAAGCCTGCACTTGCTGTGAAGTAGGTGTCTTTAAAGCTGTTGACACAGGGTAATTTCTATACTTGGGCAATTCTTTTCTATTTTAAATTTAATTGTTTTTGTTTTCTTCTTTCAGGTATCTCTTGTAGTGTGTTTTGTTCTGATGTTTGGTAATTCAATGTTGTTGACATCATATTATGCTGCATCTTTAGTAGTTATCTGGGTAAGTTGTTTAAGACAAAAAAATCACATGACGTGGTGACTGTAATGCTGTGCTGTTATGTACGTATTGATGTAAAATGTGAAACTGCTGCATTACCAGATAGTTGAGAAATCTTTTACATGACAAACAGAATTAGACCTTAAAGTTATTGGGAGAATGGGTAAATGTTAATTTAAAAAATCATGTTTTCACTCTAAGACCTCTTCACAAGAGGGTCAGTTAAGGCTCAGTTCTCTTGTTTTTATAGCTCTCTTTTTATAAAAATATAAAATTTACCATGTATGAATTTTGACCACAGTAATTGTAAAATAAGAACATGAGAAAGGAGGAGTTTGTTTTAAATGCTGCTTTATTAATTGTGAAACTGAAATGCAGAACAAATGACTGAAACATATATAACAATGGTTTAAGACTATTTGAAACTGCTGAGTCATACTGCCATGTTAGTGAAATTATTCACTGAAGACACATCATCTCATCATTCGCTATCCTAATTTTTCTTAAATAGGAAAAACAACCTCCAGCCTCCTTCAGTTTTATATAGTTTCTCTTAAGGGATTTATGTGCATAGGAAATAGGAGATAAGATTCTGTGAAGACATCTAGTTTAGCATACTACAAATCATCTCCATTTCTGATTCTTTTTGCCTCTTCTAGAAGCTTGGGGTGAGCTCAGTGATTTTATTTTTTCTTTTGTTTATTTTTTTATCTATCAGCAAAAGAGTGGTAATTTCTCATGCTAACAATAAGCTGCCTTGGCTACTGGTATTTGCTGTAGTATAGTTTGCTTGTTTATAAAACCACTCTAGCTTCTTGTAGCAGCTTTTGTAATTATATAGTAAGTACAGGTACATTGAGTTTCTTGCCTGTTTTCTGATTTGGAAAAAATACTTATTGTTTGTCTGTTATTTGGGTGCTTATAATGGCCTCATCACATATGGACTGGGTTTCTGAAAGCTTTTAAGTTCATTCTCAGTTTTTCTTAATTACATTGTTCATCAAATTAGCTTAAAGTGAGTCCGTCCTTGTGTCATAAAACGAGGAACATAATGTGAAATGGAAAAATACCAGTAACTCCTCCTACCCCCATATTCTGTTGCCTTGTTTGAAAATTGTTTGTATTATGCTGCCAGTAATTTATTTATTGCTTCACATGTCTCTTGTCATTCGTAGAAGGAGACATAATTCAGTTTCCCATTGGCTTTCATTTAAAGAAGATTAGAACTGTATAGTAGAGAATCTTGCTTGTTAAGGAGAAGAGTAGTCTTCCTTTAATTGTATGTAAACTGCAGTAAGATTTTTTTTTTTATGCTGGCATGTTTTGCCAGGGCAGAGTTAAATCACAATATTACATACTCATTCATATTTCAAGTTGTATTAATTATGGAGGGTTTTTTAATAAATAGCTGTGTGGAACAATAGGTGCTCACTGAAACCACCCCCCCCTCCCGTGTGTCGTCGTCCCCCCCCCCCATCCAGGGTACTGGAATATCTTCTTGTTGCTGTATGTTACCTGAAAATGTACATTCATTTTATTATTAGGGAATTCTTGAATTGAGTCCAAAAGTCTTGAAAAGCAGCAGAAGAGAAGTCTATTTATGGGTAAGGAATTTAATATATTTTGAATTTCAGAAAAGAACCATGACTTTTTTTTTTGCTGTTGTTTTAATGAAATACAGAAATAACTTTTGGTTTAGTTTATAAGAGTTGAAAATCAAGAAATATAGCTGCACTACTCTCTTTAATAAATTGTCCATATTCCCAGAAATTAATCTTAAATTACTGAAGGAAGAAAAGGGGCATAAACATACATTTATATCAGAAAATTGAAATAGCCTTCAAATGGCAACACATTTAAATTACCAACTTAAACATGTTTACAAAACCTTACATCTGTATGAAAATCCCTTTAAAATAAAGGACAATTTAGAAAAGGCAAGTAAAAGGCTAACAGTACTTGCAGAAATGGAGATTAAGATACTGCATTAGATGTTCACTAAAATGTGTCCTATATAATTTTTTTTTTAGTATATTTTCCTATAACAACAGCAAGCAACTTATAATTACATAAATAAAGGAGGCAAGTTGGAGTAAAACACAGTAGGATGTGTAGGTGGGGTTTGAGGGCAGTAGAAGCCATGTCCAAACATGGAGGACACTGCCAAAACTATGGCAAATAAAATATAACACTGTAGAAAACAATAAGAAGCAACTTACTGCTTAAGACATAACATTAACTTGTAAAAACACCTGAAATGGGAGCCTACTGACACTATGTCTGGCTTAAGACAGGCATTCTTATTAGATGAAGGGTAACCTGTTAGCAAAACTGGATGGAATTTATACAGTTATTACAAAGGAATTAGAATATAAAGGAATTTAAAAATATATTTATAACAAACTGCAGTGCATGTATAACCTGCTAATGTAGTTAGCTGTGGTACCAGGGAAAATGGGGGTGTAGGCAAATCTCATCTCAGTTTTTAAAAAGGAAATCCAAGGCATTTGTGGAACTGCAGACCAGGAAGTCTAACTTTTGTCAAATAATAAAAACTTGAACAGTGATGAAGTTGTAAGCTTTATGTATGTGCCGTCTAATGAGATAGGTCTGATACAGTCTCTGTGAAAGGAAGTCATGCCTCACAAATGTATTTGACTTCTTTGAAGGATGTAGATAAGGGTGTGTGGGTGAATGTAATGCACTTGAATTTCAGGAACCTTTTGGGAAAGATATGTAACTGGAATTATAAAAGAAAAAATAAGCTCCATGGGATAAGGTGTGAATATTATGTCACAACCCAGACTGGACAGCCCAGGGAGTCCTGTTTAATTTGAAATTCCCTCGGGCTAAATCAAGGTGAAACGACACCAAACGATCAGTTAAAGATTTTATTCATGACAGAAGCAAACTGAACTGGGAAGGTGTGGTAGTAGGTGGTGAGTTTCTCACAACAGGAATTGGCATAAGACTTCTGTAAACTGTGTAACCATATACATCAATTCAGGGAATAAGGAGATCCCTCCCGTTGAGTCATGAGGTTCAGAGCAGACCCCCTTGCTTTCCAGACTCCTCCTCAGAGAAGGGTCTAGGGGCAGCTGGATCTACTCTTAGTCTAAGACTTGGTCAGCGGTTTATATCTTGAAACAGATGAGGTGTAGGGATTGTGGAAAAGGAAAGAGAGAAGAAGAAAGAGAGAAAAAAAGGAAGAGAGAAAGATTTCACCGGTCCTGGGTCCAGCATTGGTTCAGTCAGCCAGGGTGTCCAGTCAGCCGAGGGGTCCAGTCCTGGTGGGCTTGCGCACCCGCGGCTTCAGTTGGTGTCCTTTCATCATCCTTGCCCCTCCTCCGGGCAGGCACCAGAGCTCAGTCAGGTTAATGAACAGTTTGTGAGCACTTTGGGCTTGGGGGTCGTTTGTGGAGTAACTTCTCCTTCCCTGCAGACACTGCCATTGTTTGATCTTTGTATCAGAACAGGGAGCTGCGCACCCTCCAGCATGCCCTCCCCCTCCTGTTGCTGATGTCTGAGCTGATGGGCTTTTCAGCTTGGTTCCTTGCTGTGCAGGGTTTGTCTTTAAGCAGAACTTGCCCCACCACAATGTTTGAGACATTAACTCTTTCAGTCTCTCACATGTTAGAAAGTAAGAAACAAAGGGTGGTATTAAATGGTAAGTTTTCAAAAGATGACCACCACCACCCTAAGTATGTATATAAAGTAATTGATCCTAAATAAGTCCTTGCCACTCAGCAGAGATCTTTGTATTCTTACAAATTCTCTGAACACATCAGTTCATTACTGAGCAGGCATCAAAAAGGAAAATACATTATGGAAGTCATGGAGAAGGAACTGCAGAGAAAGCAGAAAATATTTTTTTATTTTGTGAACTCATACTTAGTATCCTAAATATTGCATGCAGTCTCAGTCAATGTGTCTTTCTTAAAGAAAAAAAGAAAACGAAAAAAAAACCTTCCCCCAAAATGTACTACCATCAAATTTAAGTAGCGAGAGTATGAAGATAATTATTAATGTAGAATCACTAAATAGCTGAGCTTATAAAATAGGTTAGAATTCTACATCTTGTAAAATAAAGGTAAATATGATAAAGCCAGTGAATAAAAGTAGGTTGTAATTATAGTTTATATAGTGCCCCTTATGCTAGCAGCAATAAGCTTATAAGAGAGAAGAAAGATACTGTGGAAGCAAAAAAAAGATAGAGGCATTCAGAAAAGGATTAGGTACCTCCTAGGTATTTAGGTTCATTTGCAGCCACTAAATGGGATGACTGAATGCAACCTGTCATCACATAAAATCCGTGGTTACATTAGGGTAAAGATCAGTTTGTATTTTGTTGGTATATTCTCTCTGAAAGCATCTGCTACTGGTCCCAGATACAAGATACCAAGCCAGGTTATCCTATTCAGTTGATGCAGTTTTATAAAGAATTAGATAGATTAAGCTAGATTGTGAAGCATTTAGTCTTTCTGGTATAGGGATAAACTAGTGTAACTGAAAATAGTAATTTTGCATACTGTCTTTATATTTCCTTCAAGTTCTAACTTGAGATTATCTTGAGAAGGTACTATAAATCAGCAAATTCCTCCAAAGATTTGAATTACTAGAGTAGTACAACCTGATAATATGGAGAGGCTATTGGTGTGAAATAACCACAACACACTGGTGTATGCAAAACAGATGGAATTGACAGCTAGGCTGCCCCTGTTTAAAGTTAACTTTGGTACCTCCTCTGCTACAATGTCATGTGCTATGGTATGGCTGTAATATAAATCAGTTGCACAAAATTATTTCAACTGTAATAGAAAATACAAAAAAACTTAAAACACCCCAGTGTACTGAAATTTGGGAAGTGTAATTGGTTAGAAATTACTGTGCTTACTGGTGATAACATAGGAGAGTTTGTAACTAGTAGCTAAATTTAATAAGCCTTTTAAAAAAGAAAAGATTTCTTTAAAAGTTTGTTGACACATGCTTATTTCATTCTGAATATATATTTTTTTAAGGTCATCGAAGGATGTGCCTGGTTATTTGGGACAGTCACCTTGAAATACCTAACTTCTTTAGCATTTGGAATAGCTGATGATGTAAGTTCTCTTATCTGAATACTGGTGTTTCAAAAAATTTTAAATTCTTAATGTTTTGTTTTTGGCATCTTACTGATACACTTTCCTGAAATTCCAAGATTTATTTTGCAGAAATGGGAGAGGGATTGCATGTTTGCTTTCTCAGTCATTATGTGTTATCAATTTGAGGTGTTACTGCAGAAGTTTGTGAAAAGACAAATGTTTTTACTATTGAGTTAGTAAATTCCCTGTGTGTTTGTTTTAAAATGTGGATTTATAGAGCTTTTTTAATTTTGGATATCTTCTACCTACATCTTTTCTTTATTTACTCAATTTCTTAGTTCACTTTCCTCTGAAGCTAATTTTTGAGACAGTTCTGAAATGCTGCTTGTAACTAGGACTCCTCGCTTCGCTTCAGCCCCTTTGTTGTCAGATTCTACTGTTAAAAACGTATCTGCAGATGCGCATCAAGGGGCAAAAGATGGGAAGCTCGTATATTAAAATATGACTATGCAAAACCATACTCTTGTTGAATGCAGTTGCAATGGTAATCTTTCTGCTGCTTTCTGCTTTTTATTTAACACAGTCCAATCTGTGTTACACTGAAAGATGTCATTTAATATACCGTAAAGAGATTTTTGGTGCTCTTATAACAATAATGTAAATGGTAAAAACTTCTGTTCTAATTAAAAATATCTCATATACATTTAAACTACTTTGTTGTGGAAAACAGAGCAATTTTTTGCTTACTACAGCTTTTTTTTTCCCCCTGTATATCCTACCAGGCCCATATAGGAAATATATTAAAGTCTAAATTTATTGGCTACAAGGATTTTGATACATTAATGTATACCTGTGCTGCAGAGTTTGACTTCATGGAAAAAGAGGTAATTTGATCAAAACAGATGATTATGGAAGAGGGAACTTTCTGTTTTATCTTAATTTATAACTTAAAACATCTGAGAGTCATAACCTCCTACTGCCATCATAAGTTCAAGTGCTTACTCCTGAAGTTAAAGACATTAATGAACTGAAGCTAGATTTAGCTGGTTTTATTGCTTTTAAATGAACTAAAAACAAAGCAGTGTTTTGATTTTGGATCTAAGAAATGTGCTTGCTTGAAGGAGAGAAATGCTTGCTCAGGGATAAATGAAAGGTTACAGTTCTGCAAACTTAAGATTTTATGTGGCTGTTAGTAACTGGTTTTAAGTATATGGAAAAAGTACTGAGAGTTGCAAAGGTCTTGTGTGGTAGATTCAGAAGAGCATCAGAGCTTCTTAATATGGCATTAGTAGACTTTTTTTAGTTCATCTGTATCTAGATGTGAATTTAGAACTTTTATAGGTTACTCAACCCATAGTACTCAAATTCAGATGAGATACAGTCACTTTTAGTCTTTGAGTGGCCTGCCAAACAACTAGGAATAGTTTACTAATGACCCTAGTATTATGACCTCTAGTGTGATTGCTGGGTGGAGTTTTGAGTTTCTTTAAGCTGGCTTTGTTGCTGAATGTTTACATTTACATTTTACTCAGGGAAGAACTCTTTATATTGTTTTCCTTAAAATGGCCACTGAAGTAATTATAGGTGAATGGAAAGCAATTAATGCAGTTTATTTCCATTGTAGACTCCAGTAAGATACACAAAGACTCTGCTATTACCAGTTGTTCTGGTGGTTTTTGGGGTAATCATCAAAAGGGTAAGTGATTGATGTAGTGAATCACCTTTACCTTGAATTTACTTAAGGTTTTTGGAAGGGATCACTATTTATTTTGAGATGGGAAGAGGTTAGTGTGATGGGTTAACCTTGGCTGGCTGCCAGGTGCTCACTGCCCTCAGCAGGACAGGGGGAAAAAGAGTTGAAAATCTCATGGGTCAAGATAAAGACAGGGAGATCACTTGCTGATTCACTGTCATGAGCAAAACAGACTTGAATTGGGGCAGATTAATTTATTGTCAGTTAAAAAGAGTAGGACTGTGAGAAACATAAACAAAACTACAGACACTTTCCCCTCATCCCCACCCCCTTCTTTCCAGGCTCAGTGGGTCCCTCCTACAAGCTGCAGTTCTTCACAAACTGCTCCAGCATGGGTCCTTTCCGTGGGCTGCAGTCCTTCAGGAGTGGACTGCTCCAGTGTGGGTCCCCCATGGGGTCACAAGTCCTGCCAGAAAACCTGCTGCAGTGTGGGCTCCTCTCTCCATGAGCTGCAGTTCCTGCCAGGAGCCTGCTTCTGTGGGTTGCAGCTTCTTTCAGGTCATGTCTGCCTGCTCCGGCGTGGGGTCCTCCACAGGCTGCAGGGTGCATATCTGTTCCACTGTGGTCCTCCAAGGGCTGTAGGGCGAAAACCTACATCCACCATGGTGTTCTCCACAAGCTATAGGGGAATCTGCTCTGGTGCCTGGAGCACCTCCTCCCCTTCCTTCTTCACTGACCTGGGTGTCTGCAGGGTTGTTTCTCTCCTATTTTTCTCACTGCTCTCTCTTAAAGCTGCTGCTTGGTGTTTTTTATGTGTACTTAAACATGTTATGATGCGCTACCAGCATCACTGATGGGCTCAGCTTTGGCCAGTGGTAGATCTATTTTGAAGCTGGCTGGAACTGGCTCTGTCTGACATAGGGCCAGACCCTGGTCTCTTCTCACAGAAGCCACCCTGGCAGCCCCCGTGCTACCAAAACCTTGCCACGTAAACCCAATACAATTAGATAAAATATATGTTTTCAAAAATATTTGCTTAAAATTCTCTATTTTCTTTATATAGATATTTGCAAAGGTCTAGTCCTGAGTCAGTGGTAAAACTTCCTTTGATGTTAAGTGCCAAAAAAATTTCTGTCACTTAGCTGATGAGTACTATAACTGAAGTTTGTAACTGTTTTTTGTAAATTTGATTATGTATAATTTGTGTAAAAACAACTTACAGTTTACACAGGAACAGATGGGATAACTGTTAACTGCCTGGCTAATTAAACATCCTCAAAAAGAATTTTTAGCTAAAACACTGCAGGTGTTTATCTTAGCATTATCTTAAAATGAGATTACCCAGGTGTAATTTAATTTAGCAAATGTTGAAAATGCTTTAGAATGCTTTTGAAAGTTTGTTCATACTTTTTGTTGGCTCTTGTTTTCTTCAGGCAATTAAGTATCTTATGTGGGCCTTATCACAGGCGGGCCAATGTGAAAGGTAAATATTGTCTTCTTTTTAATGTAAAACTGAATTTTCTGCTGGAAGTTTATTTGATTTGCTGTATGTTAAATAATTCAGTTCTACATTATGTTGGCCCTTTTTGGAGGGTTAATTATGTATAGTTCAGTAACTGAATGGCTTGGCTGTGCTATATGTGGTATTTTTATAGGATGTCTAAAACTAAGTTTAGCTGCTGAACTTAGTTTTAGACATCTTAACCCTCTTACCCCCAAATTTTCTATTTAATCGTTTATTTTTCTGCTCTGTTCCTAAACCAGTATTTGTTTTTGTGCCTATTTGCTTTTCTCCTATAAATAGTGAGTGCAATTCTTTTCTCCCCATTTTTTTTTTTTTCCCCCAGGTTATAAAGATACCCAAGTTTCATCTTTAGGAAGGGATCCCAACTGTATTGATTTTTATTTTCTAAATATCTGTAATACATGCTCTTAACTGTCACAGCCATTTAGCATCACTTGTTGATGCTGTGCTCAAGAGCAGTCAATTTGTCCAATTGAATGTTGTCATTTCCCTGACATCTTTTTGCTTCCTTTTTTTTTTAATTTATCACTAATCATTTCAGTGATCTCTGCTTTCCGTAGTTGTCGTGGTTTAACCCCAGCCAGCAACTAAGCACCACGCAGCCACTCACTCACTCCCCCCCCATCCAGTGGGATGGGGGAGAAAATCAGGAAAAGAAGTAAAACTTGTGGGTTGAGATAAGAACGGCTTAATAGAACAGAAAAGAAGAAACTAATAATGATAATGATATCACTAATAAATTGACAACAGTAGTAATAAAAGGATTGAAATGTACAAATGATGCACAGGGCAATTGCTCACCACCCGCCGACCAACCCCCAGCCAGTCCCCGAGCGGCGAATCCCTGCCCCCCACTTCCCAGTTCCTAAACTAGATGGGACATCCCATGGTATGGAATACACTGTTGGCCAGTTTGGGTCAGCTGCCCTGGCTGGGCATGAGAAGCTGAAAAATCCTTGACTCTAGTCTAAACACTACTGAGCAACAACTGAAAACATCAGTGTTATCAACATTCTTCACATACTGAACTCAAAACATAGCACTGTACCAGCTACTAGGAAGACAGTTAACTACATCCCAGCTGAAACCAGGACAGTAGTCCAATGGCCATTAATAAAATTTCAACAGATGTGAGCAGGATTCAGCATCCTGTCTTCACATGTGTTTTTGGAGAAAAAGTATACACAATTTTGACTCTTTTCACATTTGTATTTCCTTGTGAGAATCCAAAATCAATCTATGTAATACCTGAGTAAATTACTGACTCTCTTTTGTTACCAGTGTTCTGCTTCTCTTATGTTACTGAAGTTTCATTCTCTAAATAAGCTGTTCTGTATATGAAATAACTCATGGAAGTAATTAAAAAAACTGCTAAAACTAATTTTCAGATTTCAAAATAGATGGTAGGGATTGAGGAGGATAGTTACTGATTTGCAATGTACTACAAAGCTTGTTACAGAGGGGAAAAAAATCTGTGTGGGTGCTGACTCATGCCTACTGGATTAGTTCAGTTGTCTAGAGCCACTTTAGATGAGTTCAAAGTAAAACCAGTGCTTCTGTAGTACATAAACAAATAACGTGATTTTCTGTTTTTTATTCAGAGAGGAACGTTTTAATCATGGTGAGGTAAGATTCTTTTCCTGCACAATTTTATTCATAAGTTAATGTGAATACTCAGTATTGAAATACAGGTTGCAACGGTATGATCCTGATATGTGGTTTATTTGAAGGTAAGTATTTTCATGTTTTATTTCCTCATCTTAAATTGGGTCCAGTACATCACCAGAAGAACTCTGGAATGCTGGAACAAAAAAATACACTAGCTAATGGTGGAGTGGCAGTGCAAGAGAGGGGTCTTTTGGGCTTTTGCTGCAGCAGTATAGAAAGACACTGAAATTGGGTTGGACCTTCCATTTTCCCCATATAAACTGAGAAGGAGATTGATTCCTTTACTGGGGTTTCATGTGACAGATAGTGTTAAAATTCTGATTTGAAATATGCCATAATTAAAATAATTCTACATGTGGTTCTTTTAATAAAATGATTCAACAAATATAATCGAATGGCAGCTTTCTTATGTGGTTTCTTTATTTGCAATTAAGTCAGCAAGGACAGTGCAAAAGTTTCTTAACAGCAGTTTATTTGTGGTTTGTGCTCTGAGAGGAATCTCATGCCATTCAAAATATAATAATCGATCAAATAGATAAAAGCACTGACTGCAAAAATGCCTCTGATTTATCACAGCACTTCAGGTAACAAAAATTCAGTGTTAGGAGCGGTGAGTGACATCTCTGATGTTTTTTAACCTTTTTTGAGAATACTAAAGCAAGCTGCCTGTGGTTGTGTGAGTATCAAGGATGATTTTATTTGCTTCTTTCATTTCATACTTAGGCATTTTAGGTATTAAATAGCAAGGATCTTTTGCATAGCTAGCAATTTCTCCAGCTCCTTTTGGTTTTATTGTTAATCTTTATCCTTCCTGTTGTTCCATACCTTAGCATACTACATAGACTTTAGAAAAAAGTTAACAAAGTCCTTACCACTATCTGAAATGTGAAGATCTTTACTTTGACTTGGACTCTTTTTCAGACAAGTTTGTCACTTAAGCTATACTGAAAATGAAGTTGTATGTTTAAGACATAAATGAAAAGTATGCAAATATTATGCTTCTGTATGGTTTGTTTTGGTTTGGTTTTTTCAGCTGGTATACCATGCATTGCAGCTGTTGGCATACAGTGTCCTAGCAATTTTAATCATGAGACTAAAACTGTTTTTGACACCACATCTATGTGTTATGGCTTCCTTGGTGTGTTCAAAGCAGGTAAGGTGTTTTTTTAATCCTGTTGCTATCTCAGTACTTACAGTATTACCCAGATATTTGTCCTAAAGCAAATTTCTGTGTGCGTAATTGCTGAATCTGAGTGTACCATTAAAAATAAACCAGATTATATTGCCTGTCAAAAAATATGGTTCCATTCTCCCCTCTTCCCAAATAAAGCCAATATCTTGTTTTAGGCAACTTGTCCAACTGTATTATTATATGAGTTAATATGCTGTGTATTGAGCTCGAGCACAGGGAGGCATACATTGGATTTTAGTTATTTACACATTTCTGTGCCATTGCAAGTTTTTTATTGACTATTAATTTTATCCAAACAGTGTTTGACTTTGTTTACACTGTGTTTTCACAGCTCTTTAGGGCTTATTGCCTTGCATATTTTTTGTGTATTAATTCTTTCCAGAAGTATAGTTTTGAAGTCTTGCATGTTGAAAACTTCAGCCTCAAGAATCAAGTCATATGCCTAACTCAGATTTAACTTTCCTAGCTTGAAATCATCGATAACACAAACTGTTTCTAGATTTTCTCCAGATATAAAAGATCTTAGAATTGGCTTTCCATGTTTCAGTAACTGTGGTTTTGATAAGTGAATTTGATTGAATCTGTATCTAAGTAGCTGTTTTAGGAGCTTTGTAGTTGCAGCAAAAGTAGGGTAAGCAGTCCTTTGTCTGGGAAGCAGACAGGAAGGTAGATTGAAAACTGGCTGAATGGCTGGGCCCAGAGAGGGGTGATCAGTAGTGTACAAAGTCTGATTGAAGGCCAGTAACTAGAGATGTACCCCAGGGGTCAATACTGGGTCCAATCCCATTCAATGTCCTTTGTTAATGGTCTGGATGATGGGGCGGACTGTACCCTCAGCAAGTTTGCTGATGGTACAAAACTGGGAGGAGTGGCTGGTACACCAGATGGGTGTGCTGCCATCAAGAGGGTCCTCAACAGGCTGGAGAAATGGGCTGACAGGAACCTCATGCAGTTCAACAAAGGGAAGCACCTGGGGAGGAACAGCCGCAGGCACCAGTACATGCTGGGGGCTGCCCAGCTGGAAAGCTGCTTTGCAGAAAAGGGCCTGGAGTTCTGGTGGACACCAAGTTGAACGTGAGCCAGCAACATAACCTTGCTGTGAAGAAGGCCAGTGGTATCCTGGGCTGTCTTACAAGGAGTGTTGCCAGCAGGTTGAGGGAGGTGATCCCCTCTTCAGCACTGGTGAGGCCACAGCTGCAGCACTGGGACTGGTTCTGGGCTCCCCAGTACTAGAGAGGCACAGACATACTGGAGAGAGTCCAGCAAAAGGTCATGAGGGTGATTAAAGGACTAGAGCATTTCTCCTGTGAGGAAAGGCTGAGAGAGCTGGGACTGTGCAGCCTGGAGAAGAGAAAGCTCAGGGGCATCTTATCAATGTGTGCAAATACCTGAAGGAGGGTGCAAAGAGGGCAGAGCCAGGCTCTTTTCAGTGTTGGCCAGTGACAGGACCAGAGGCAGTGTGCACATGCTGAAACACAGGAGGTTCCCTCTGAGCATCAGGAAACACTTTTTCACTGTGAGAGTGACCAGACCCTGGCACAGGTTGCCCAGGGAGGTTGTGGAGCCTCCATTCTTGGACATATTCAAAAGCCATCTGGACATAGTCCTGGGCAACTGGCTCTAGGTGGCCATGCTTGAGCAGGGGGGCTGGACCAGATGACCTTCAGAGGTCCCTTCCAACCTCAACCATGCTGTGATTTTGTAGAAAGTGTTATTTGCATCACATAAAGTAAGTATCCCCTATTTAAAGAGTGAAAGATTATGACTAATAGTGAGCTGGGCTTACTAACAAGAAAACAATTTGGGAAGATAAGATGGGGAACTCATGAAAATGTCTATATGGAGGACACCACTAAGAGGATGAGTGGGAGAAAGAATCCAGTAGTAAGAACTGTTGCGGACATAATACAGAAGAAGGAAAAGAAAAAATATTTGACAGAGTGGGGAAACTAGCAATGGCTGGGGAAGAAAATTAGGATTTTAGTAAGAAACGTAAGTCATTAGGTTTGCTGATGATTGAAAGAATACAAGAGTACCATTACAAAGTTCAGTACTCAAAATCTGGAGTGCCACAACTGACGGTGTGTGTACAACATTGGCTGTCTTGTGCATATGCAGTATGATACAGGCTATAATGCCCAATAAACATTGTTTTTCCCACAATATCTGTGGCTGAAGCCTGTCCTAAAGGTGAATTAGGGTTGTATGGTGAAGGCAGTTACTGTCTGTGGAACATCTAACACTTGTGTCATACAACTGGAAGGTGAGACAGAATTATGCAAAGAGGAGAAAGCTGTTCCTTGTTAAGGCAGCTGAACAAATGATTGTTTCCCAGAAAACAGGATTGCTTCCCTGGATGTTCTTTCATGGAAGGACAGTTCTTTATAATGCTGGACAGGCTACACAGTATCAGTCTGCTTAAATGTCGTGCTCTTCACTTTCTTGATGGCTGATTTGTTACTTGGCATAGGTAGAAGTGCTGAGTGTTTGCCAACATCAAATGAATCTCTACAGTGAACATATAAAATGCTAAAAAAGTGTCAAAAACTATTCAAAAAGTAACTTTATTTATCCACCTTGTAACTGAGTATTGGGACTTAAGAATTTCCTGTACACGTTTGCTATTCTGTAAGGTTCACAGCTGTTATGATCTTTCCCAGCTTTTAGTTAGTTGTTGTTGGGGTATTGGTGTCCTCTTAGATGATCTGGCTGTTTAAGTAGTAGCAGTTACACTGTGGTTAAATTTTTGTAAATGAACTTTAACGAGGTGTTTCTGAGTAATTTGAAATGAAATTGCTTTTCACAAGTCAGAAAAGCAAAAAGCAAAAAAAAGTCTTATTTCCTTCTGACATACAACTGCTAGAGAACAATTACAATATAAAGGAGTTGTGTCCAAAGTTAATTTGTTCTTAGTTCTTGTTTTAACTGTGTGTTCCTAGAAGAAAATTGATGGGGTTTTCTACCCTGTTATTGAAAATTTTTTATAGAAGTTAGCCTCTACATGGCAAATTAGTAAAAGTTTTCAGCTGGTGATCTTTCTCTTTCTTTTTTTAAAGCACTTGAGTAATGGCACTACAGTAAGTCATCCTGGCTCATTGTGTTTTTTTGTTTTAGTACTGCAACTAAGGTCATCAGGCCAGTTAATGAAAACTGGTGCTTATGGTGATCATTGTGGTTTAGATCTTAGAGGATGCTACACGTTATCACTGTGTAAATATTGGAAGAAGGACAGGCTCAGAGTATTCTATCAATATTTTCTTCTGTATCCAACTGTGTTTTGGCCCTTTGGGTTGTTCTGCTGTTTCCTATGGTTGTAGAGTGAGAGTAGGCTTCTCAAGAAGCTACAAATGCAGATGAGAACCTCTGCTGGAAGCTGCCCTAGTTGGACCAGATGGCTTGGGTCCAGTGACCTTTTCTTCCTCCTTTGCAGATTCATGGAGGCATAGTTGGCTTGAGAGAAGTAGGTCTTGAATGCTAGGGAAGGTAAGGATTTAGATTCCTGCAGTTTGGACAGTTGTTCTGTGCAGAAGACGATAAATGACTAGCTGCCCCAGGTAATAAGGCCTGTGATTATCCTGGTCCCGGCTTGGGCCTTAGGAGAGAGAAGTACGTACCTGTGTTCAAGAGCACCCAACTTTAGGTGAACGATGTAAGTAAAAATAAAATTAATTCCCTTGTCTCGTTATCAGCGAAGGTTCTTTTGCCTGTTCAGCATGTTCCCTAGGTTGGTGCTGATTGATACCTGTAAAAGACAAGCAGAATTTTTTCTGGTCTGACTGATGTACTCTTTCTTTAGTAGGGAGCAGCTCATAATCTTCCAGGTAATACATGACTGGCTTCAGCATGAGAGAGAAACACTGGCTCATAAGGCTGTTAAGCTGCTGTGGATCAGACCACTTCTAAGACTGCTCTGACTTAAGCAAGCAAGGGGATAAGAAAACTGCTTATTTTTTGGTAGGGTCAGGAAAATATCAAGTGGTTTTTAGTGAGCTGCTTCTGTCATACTGGCTGCTGAGCAGAAGTAGTATTTTGAGGTTGAAAAATCTGACTGTGTATACAATACTGATTCAGAAGAATTGCTGCAATGGAGGGAGATGAGAAAGGGAATGGGACTTGTGACCAAACAATTGATTAACACTTGGTACCTTTATCATTATGTAAAGTTTTAGGTGTTTGCATAAAGGGTAAGTTAATAAGCAACAATTTGTTTTTACAGATGCCAGAAAAATTTAAGCAAATTTAACATATGCAGTTACCTTATTGTAATTGAGGTCAACACTATCCTTTCCTCTAGCAGACCATGGAAGTTTACCTGCAGTGTTTTTTTAGTATAACTGATTTATTTTGAGGCTATAGCTAGATAATGTGTTAATCAGCTGCCTTTCAAAATATACTCTTTTATTAGTGAACAGTCAGCCTGAGATGAACATTTATAACACATTATAACACAAACGAAAAATGAAAAAATAGGCAAAAGACATACTGGAATTATTCTGCAAATGGAAAGGGAATTTTGTATGTTGTGTTCTTTCAGCCCGTTGTATGAATCTGTGTACTTTCTGTTACCTCAGTGTTGCAGCTTGTGGCACCTGATGGACAATAAAAATGATAACTATTTACATCCACACATTTATTTCCTCTTTCTGTTCGAAGGAATTACACTGTCCTGAGTGGAAATTTTGAAAGCAAAGAAAAATAGCTGGAGAAAGACTTAATGTATTAATTTGGCAAAACCAAATAAAAAAACCTTAGATCAATATAAAAACCACATGAGGAACAGCATCCCATAAAAGAAATGCTTCTTTTGTGTTGCATAGATGTTCAGCCATTCTAGGGTCTTTATGTAAACAAAATAGTGGTAAATTTAGATACTTTGAACATTAATGAGGTTTTATAAAAGTATGATAGGAATGTGATTTTCTTGGATTTGAAAAGCCATGGAAATCAATAAAGAATTCTAAAGTTCTAACATGTTCTTGAAGTGAGATTTTTGCAACTATTGGTAAAAAGGAGGTTTGCTCATGTAAAGTAGTAAATTAATTCGTTTCCCTTTATCCTTCTAGACCTTCACAGTGGTCAGGCATATTTGGTATATTAAATTTCCCTGGATGGTATTGCTGTTCTTGCTAGAGTGTTCAGCAAGTCTTTGAGGATGAGAGTAGAGTGCACTGTATTTTTGGAGACGTGTCTTGAGGGGTTTAATAATCTAAAGTAGTTAACAGTTATTTTATAACAAAGATAACATACACTATCTAATTGGTGTAGTCAGCCTAGTGGGAGGTTTTACTGTGAAACTTTATCGTTTCATGTTTTAAATACGGTTCATTCAGAGTATCTTTACCCTTTTTTTTTTTAATTATTTAGTGCAGGTTTGATATTTTTGAAATGTGAAGCCTTCTAATTAACAAAAGCTTGGGGAAAAAAAAGTAATTCTTTGTTTTATTTATGGTTTAGGTCAGATATGGATGAGATAAAGTATTCTTGCTCAAACTAAACTTCAGCATAGCAAATTTGGTACTACTTTTTTCTTAACTACCCATTTCACTTATTGATGAGTATTTGCTTAGACCCTCCAGCAAACTATTTTTAGGCAAAAATGCTAAGGGCCATCTTTTTCAGTTCAAGAAAGGGAAGAGTAGGATATAAAGCAACATTAACCTTATATCCCCAAAGTCTGCTTTTCTGATATGTTTTTGGAAGTTTGCAGTACAATCTCTAATCCATATACTATAGCTAGAAACTCTTGATATAAATAGATAAAATACTGTAAAAGTGCAGTTAGGATTACTGAATCATCTTTACTTGCAGAATTTGACATTTGAACTACAACTTTAAAAGCTGCATTAATGTCAATTTTGAATACTTCTCATGAGGTCTCACTGAAGTTCCGTGGAGAAGCAATAGCAGAGATGTTTCATATTGTAATATATGTTTGGTTCCTTATAGAGAAATAAAAAATGAATTGTGCTGTGTACAACATTATAGAATTGTTGTCTAGAAATTAATCAATTCTTGCATTTCAGTTGTTTGGATGGCTCTTCTGTAAAATCCAGCCCAAAACATTGGTCTTTGCTATTTTAGCATTGATGGCAATAGAGGGATCAGCAAACCTTCAAACTCAGTGGAACATCATGGGAGAATTTAGCAATTTGCCACAGGAGGAACTCTTAGAGTGGATAAAAGTCAATACCAGACAAGGTAAACTGTTCAATAATGTATGACGTTCCCCATTTACTGTGAGATGTAACTATAGAACTTGGTATGAATGAGTGCAGAGGTATTGCTACTTAACTATCTGTGGCTTTGCCTTGGGACTATCCTAAAGCCATGGTTTAATCACATACGCTTGTCCATATAGAAGTTATCTCAAATGAAAAAAAAAAAAACCAAACACCGAAAGCTTGCTTTGCTAGACTCCAGGCTACCGGTCTGGAAGTTCTAGCCCCTAGTGTAATATTTCTACAATGAAAGTGTTTTTGCAAAGTCCAATTTAAATGGGTTTTTACTTAAATGACACTGATCCTGTATGTGGGTCCATGATCATCATTTTGCTAGACAAGAATTCAAAGTATGTGTGTTGTGGTTGCACTTGTCCTTTTACTGAAATGAGTAAAAGTGTCGGAAAATTAGCTGGAAAGCAGTTACCTTTTTAGCAGGAAAATGCTTTCGAGCTGAAGTGGACTGAGATTTTATTGGTCATTTAACAATGGTGTAAGAAGTGACAAAAACTTGTTGTCATAATGAGTATGTTATTTTACCCATTCAAGAAAAAATAAGATGTATTCCATCTCTGTTCTTAGATGTTTAGTTATCTAATGACTTTTATTAAGTTCAAGGTTTAAAAAAAAATAAATGCATCTCCTGTTGGTGCCATGTAAGGCCTTTTCAAAAAGAGCACCCTACCCTCTTTATATGTTTTTCTACAGGATTACTGTTTAGATATTTGACAATTGCTTCTTTGCTTTTACTGCTTGATTCTTCATTTCAAACATGCTTTTCGTTCTGTATTTCAGATGCAGTTTTTGCAGGAGCGATGCCTACAATGGCAAGTGTTAAATTGTCTACACTTCGTCCTATTGTAAATCATCCTCACTATGAAGATGCAGGATTAAGGTAAATTTTAAAGTTGAGGATTTATTTTTATTTGCTACTGATTCTCTTAATGCTGGTAATACAAAATAGGAATGGCATCGTGTTACATTGTAAAATTTGTTAAAACCCCATAGAACTTGATTTGTTACTTTAGTCACATTGAAAACACATGCAGTATTTCTTCAGGATTTGTATTCCTCAGAAAGGATGTACTGTAGGATAGATATGGCTTCAAACTTACATAAAAAAAAATCAGACTATAACTATGGAATTCGAATTAATGTGTACTATTATATCCTTTCTTCATTCTAGTTACTCCTGACATTGTAGACAGACTTGATTTTTTTTCTCAAGATAGCCAGTTTAGTTATTCCTATTAGCTTTCTGTGATTGGTTGCCATTTTTTTCATGATAATATATCTAATTATTTTGTAATGGAATTACTGAGTTTTGTACTTTGTCATTTTCAAAATCAGGAAATTTTTCTAAATTGAAATTTATTTATCTGAAAAGGTCATGAATTTCTTTTTTTGATTTTAATATCATAACATAATTTTTTGGTAATTTGGTAAAACTGGTTTAAAAAAAAAACACAAGAAAACAACAAGATAGAGAGGGATAAAGGAGATAAGGAGGGGATTCATTTTACATGCCTTATGTCTTTAGTTCTGTGTCTGGCATTAACTGGCTTTAAGTTTTGGTCAGCCCTGAATTGGTCAGGCAGTTGGACTAGATGATCGCTATAGGTCCCTTCCAACTCAAATATTCTATTCTAATATAACTACAAAAATATAGGACAGGGCATGTTTGGGGAAAATAAGCTAGAGGTGATACAGTATCAGAAAATGAATGGGAATCAACAACGTCATGCTTTGCACAATCAAAGGAGGATAATACTGGGTAATATAAACAGGATCATGGTTTACAGGGGATGATTTTGCTTGATTCAGGATAGGCAGCCATCAGGTCTTGCACTTTGCATTTTAAAAAGTCTGAACAAGGGCAATGAGTATGACCTTTTGCGGAGAGACTTGGCAGATGATTTCTTCTGATTGCCTCCAGTCCAAGCAAGGTTGTTTCTAGCCTTGACTATTATATGGTGAATACATTGCTTTGACATCTTTACATTTTCTGTTCACAGTGACCATGGATCTTGTGACAAAGTTGTCTCCTGCTACAGAAAATCAAAGGGCTGTATGCATTTTTCTTGGAGTCATTATATTTGTGAAGAAATAATCACATTAAAGCAAATGGCACTATTAATTTAAACTTTGTTTAGCCTAGTTGTCCTATGAAATAAAAAGCCTTCCTGTCTAGTATAAAGTTAAAGCTTACGTTTTCATTCTGTGTTGCTAGCTAACTTTTACATTTCTGTTTTTGAAGGGCCAGAACTAAAGTAGTGTATTCCATGTACAGTCGAAAACCTGCAAAAGAAGTAAAAAGAGAATTGATAAAACTAGGAGCTAATTACTACATTCTGGAAGAGTCATTGTGCGTAAGCAGAAAAAAGTGAGTAATCTCTCTCTTTCTCACAAGAATGATATGCTGCTCAAATATGTAGTCTAAGATTCATATCAAGTACTAGTTTTGAAATGCTGATCTGTGATTTATTAAGTATCCAAAATACATTTTTGTCCAGTGTCTCCAGATACTAATAAGTATAGTTAACTTTACCCACATTAGCAGCCTTGTGGTCTTTGTGTGCACATGAAAAGCTGTGTTGTATGTATTTTTAAACTTCACTGTAAAATACAGAATTGATTCACAAAGGAAACAAGTCATTATTCTGTGATGGCAAGAACAGATGTGTGTGTATAATGAAAGCCTAGTATGAATAAAAAATGCAGAGTAAAAGATAGTTTGAACACCAAAATATTATGACCATTGCTGGTCACTGAAAATTTTGTTGCATTTAAGCTGTGGCTTTTTTGTTTTGTTTTTTTTGTTTTTTCCTGTCTCTCCAATTTTTGGCCTTTAGAACACAGTTTGGATTGTTTATTTTATTTTCTTTGCATTTAGAATAAAGTGAAATGAATCTGTTTTATTTCTTTGCTCTTATCTTTGACAAAATTAGGAAATTCTCAGTAATTCTAACTTCAAAAGATAACTGTTGGTTCTGTGCCTTTAGTAAAAAAGCAAGGAGTTACTACTTTTTTTTCTTAAAAGGTGTGTTATTTCCTGAGTTTTCTTTCAAAATGTTACAAGTGTGAACATCACCCTCCATTTTATAGGAAGTTTTAAGGGTCCCTGGTAATGTATATTGTATAATTTGAGTTGTTTTATATGCCTCCTCCTCCAAATTAATTCTTTCTAATAATGTAACCACAAAAGCAGACAAATTTTACACATTCTCCAATTACTACTATATGTATTGATTTTGTAATCTGATAAGAATTTCTAGTATAAAGAAAAACTTAAAAAAATATAGATAGCACAATCAAGTATTCATGGTGGGGGGTTAAAAAACTGAGTTCAGCAAGCTGTATGTTTTTTGATGGCATTTCTTCATTTCTCTTTTCGTATTCATATGTTTTCCAGGCCTGGTTGCAGTATGCCTGAAATTTGGGATGTCGAAGATCCTGCTAATAGCGGCAAAATTCCTTTATGTACCCTTATGAGCAAGGATTCCAGGCCATATTTCATCACAGTATTTGAAAATAGCAATTACAGAGTCCTGAAGGTTCTAAAGGAGTAACATCTCAGTGCAAAGAACCATCAGTCTTTCAACTTTTTAAACTAGTAACTAGAAGAATTCTAAATCAGAAATACCTTTTCTACTAGACTTAAGATGGAAAAATGTGTATTTTATTTTTTACCATTTTAAGTGAATTCTGATTATAGAAATATCTTAAACCTAACAGTTTGGATTTCTATTTTGGGGTCAGTCCCTTGAGATTTGCTATGCAAATGATTATATGTTTGCACATTTTGTTTAACACTGAATCAGAAAGAGTTAAAAGTAGCTATGGAAAGTAACTCCATTCTCAAAACCAATAATATTGTGAAATGGGACTGTCAGAATGTCTTAGCAAAGCAAGTTTGTTTAAAGCTTTGGTGCTAGCAGCTAGGAACAAAAGGAATGGTGCTATAGCATCTGGCGTCACATTTCTCATGTCACTTTCATTACCCATCTTCCTTCTGGACAAGGTGATACTAGAAATTCTCTTAAGAGTCATGTAGTTTCACTAGTCGTCTGAAAGAAATTTTTTTTCTTTGAGAGGATCACTTTGGATCACTTTAACACATGCTTTTAAGCTTGCTCTTGAAATGGAAAAGTTTGTAGGCAGACTTGAAACTTCATTATTTAGGTGCATGTTCTTGGAATCTTACTGATATTAAAAAAGACTAATAAGGGTAATATTTGGAGTGAGCAATAGTTTAGCTTCTCAGTGTCCAAGGATTTTTAGCATTCTTATGCATTCAGAATAAGCTGGCATAATATATGTGAAGTTTTTAAGGGAAAATGCTTTATTCAGGAAAAATCTGTCATAGCCTTAGAAAGATAGTAAATAAATCCTTCACTGCCTTAACTAGACCTTCAGCGCCTAACTTGATAAGAAATTACTTGCAAAATTTATGCCCTATTTTCTTTCCTCATGTATTAGATCCTGCCTGGATTTTATCAGCAGCATTAAAGAAAAATGAGATTTAACCATAACTGTGATATGGGTATAGTCAATTGTTTGGGTATAATTGCTCTGACAATATTAGACTGGTTCTGTAGTTTTTCTGTCATCTTAGTGTCACGTCAATATAGGTAATAAAGAATTTAGAGAATTCACTTTCCGAGGACACCCTTTAGTTGTTTAACTGACTTGATAGAACTTTTATATGTTTATTGCCATTGGGAAGTATCACAGTCAGTTGTGATTCTACAGTATAAGACTTCTAAAGTCTAGTGCTTCTCTGTGTATCATTCATGTTTTGGTTTTGTTTTGGCTTGTTGTTTTTTCTTTTTTTGTGTGGTTTTTGTTGGTGGTGGTTTTTGTTTTGTTTTGTTTTGGTTGGGTTTGGGTTTGGGTTTTTTTTTTTGTTCAGCCATCAGTCTATTGATATGACTGGTCTTTTTAGCCCTAATAGCATCTAGCAATATTAGGTGCTGTGGGAATATCATCCATCACACCTATAACAGTATCAAATAAATGGGAACCTATGATAAAGTAGTAGTGTAACAACTGATCAGTATTCTAAGACTTCTTTTTTTAAAATCTGTTTTATTGAGAGGGTGAGGGAGAATGGCTGAAAATGCATTAGCTTTTTAACTTTTACAGAATAGATTTTGGAAAAATTTCTATAAGGAAACTATCACAAAAAGGGCTTTTGGGAAGTCACTTTTTAAAATGTTAATTGAATTCAAAGCAGCAGGAAAAAAATCTTTATATAAACATTGTGACTAGTGTTACAGCACAAAAAGGTACTGTATTTTTATGAAGTTTATGCCAACTGTTGACATGTACTTATGTGGTTAAATAAAAAAGAAAAAGATGGAAATTGTTCTCATGTTTCTGATGGATGTTGTATTTCTGCTCTAATGTCTATTAAACTGAAGTTTAATACAGTTGCCACAGCAGGTACGATTGAAGCTGAACCCTCAACTAAACAATGCGCGGAAGTGCTTCAGGTAATTAAACCAAACTCACACACCTCTTTCTGGCCTTCTTTTTATTTGGAATATCAGTGCAGGAATATGTGAAAAGACAGTGAGAAAAGATCAAATAACTATTTACAAGCAAAGTGAACTTGGAAGGCAGTTCAAAATTACTCTCTTTTTGTTCTAGTTTCTCAACTCAGGTAGTCAAGAGTGAAGCCCAAATACTGGTAGAATGAAGAAACATTTTAAACTTAAGGTTCAAAGATGTACTTTAGTAAAAATGTTCCTCATTTGATGAGGAGGCTGTTGTGGCTGAGTACACGGCCAGAGACTGTTTGTAAATTTTCAGCTTATGTTGAGTGATATTATAGTGTCCCTCTCTTTGAACTGGTCTTAAACCCCCCAAATTGTCATCTAATGTTGAGATGATACAATCCAGTAATGGAAAAATGAAGTAAAAAAAAAAATGCAATATATGATTGTGGGGAAGAAACGTGGGAATTCTTGAATTGGGTATATCATGTTATGAATTTCTTGTCATCTCAGTAATTTGCTTTCGATTCCAAAGGAAAAAATTTGAGTTTAAATAATACACCATTTTACACATAGGAGCACCTTGTTAACATTATGCTTGTCACTGCAACTTGAACCAGAAAATGGAAGTTTGAGATTTCTTAGCTCTCACTAAAGTTGTTTTTCCCTTTGCAAGATCCTAATCAATAAATCTGTAACTCAAGTAAGTTAATTTTTAAATATGCACTGGCCTTGATGTAATTTTGGCACAGGACTGGGATACTTAAGTATCTGAAAACAGTTTCTAATTACATTCTAGTAATATTGGATTGTATAGATTTGTTTGTTGGAATCTGAAATATTGCTAGCTTTGAGTGCAGTAAATTTCTTCAGTACAATGGGCACAATTACAATTCGGTATCAAACTTTTGGTAGTTGTGCAAACTGTAATATTTAGCGTGGAGACCAAATGAGGCACCTTTGTGAAGCAAAGATATTAAGTCCTGTTCACTACTGCCTTGCACTTCTTCATTCTCATCTACCATTTTAAAAAAATGCCTTTGCTTTTGCCTTTTTTTGTAATTCAGCTTAAACAGTGAAACTAAATCAGTATGTATTTCTTGGATTTTTATGATTAAGACACTGAGTTCCACAACACAGGACTCGCTCCAAGTGAAGTAAGGAAAATTCCTTCAGCAAAAGCAAGTATGGAAGGAAGAGTACAAACACAGGGTTGTTGGAAATCGGCATTGTTGAAAGCAGTTACAAAATGCTAATGAGGGCTTGGGACCTGTGTTTTCAAATTGCATTGTTGTCTAGTTTCTATAAATGCTGTTGATTCACCTAGGTTACATAATGTGAAGGACTGCAGTAAACCAACATATTTTTAAACCCAAAAGAATAAGGTGCTTCTGAGTTGTTTGAGCAGCTGGACGAAGGAATCCAAATACTAACTGATAGTAGTGCTTTTCTATGTAAGCTTTATTGTTATACTAAGAAGTAGGATGGCAGATGTGGTGTGAAAGGAAGACTTTACTGTTTGAAAACTAGTAAGAGTTTAGATGTTAAGGAATAGTTACACTTTTTGTGAAATTAAGACTGGGGACCTAACGGCATGCAGAACTTCTAAATCTGAACACTGGTCAGCTGTGCAGGAATTGCTTGGGCAGTGAACCTCTCAGTACTGTGATAAACAAATTCTCAGCTGTAGCTATATTACATAAGCACTTCTATTTCAGTACAAAGTCAAACATTATGATACACTGTCTGTAGCAGAGCTTTAAGCTGACCTGTTGGGTTGGAGCAGAGGAGTAGCAGGATTTACAGGGTTAGGCAGAATCTCTATCCTCAGCAAATTGGCTTGTTTCTGACCTTGTGCTGTAATTGTCTATTATTGACTAAATTTATATAATGTCTAAAATTGTCAGTTGCTTGAGTGGGTTCATCATGTAGTAGTTTGACAACTTCATTACTTCCTATTACAGCATGTATAGAACATTTATTGCCAATAGATCATGAGATACGGATAGAACACCTAGAGTGAATGAATAATACTGGTTTCATATCTGGCTGAGGACTCAGGCAGGATCTCTGTGGCCAGTCTTCCACCCTGTCAAGATTATCAATATCTAAATTGAATCTTGAGTGCAAGCAGCACTTGTTTTGCCTGTATGGCAGGAAGGACAAGATCTAGCTTTTAGCCTGAAGAATATGAAAACGCTTACTGGATCTCATTTAAAGGTAATCCTGAGCCTGCAACAGGACAACTTCTAAAGGAAAAACCTCTGATGTTCATCTGAAAGGAAACAAGTCACTCGAGTTCATTCTTCAGGCTTGACCACACTTACTTTCAAAGCCAGTGCACCAAATTCTTACTTTCATTACTAATTGCTGTGTTTACACCCCTGAGCAGTTATCAACTTCATGTTACTGAGCAACTGGATGCTCAGCTTCTCTGACTATGAGTCCCTAGAGTGTCTTAGGATGCAGTTAGCAAACATTATTTGCAAGCCATTGGTGTTTTGCTGTAGGTATCTGCCCGAGTTCTGCAAAATATGCTAGCCTCTTCGGAAGTACTGGCTTTTATAGTTTAACTATTTCTAAAAATCCAACGGGTTTTTTTCTTAACTAAAGAGAGGTAGCAAAGACTGAAAATACCCGAGAGTAGGATGCCTCCTATTTTTTTCCTGAATTAGCTTTATGATGGTGCTTGAATTGCTGCCTTGCTTTTCTTTGATTTTGATTATGAAAATACAATGCATCTGTATTTGGAGAAGTTTACCTTCCACTGCTCATAAAAGTAGGCTAAAGTTAGAATCAAGCTTAGTAGCTGGGTAGAGTAGAAATTTTCATATTCCTGAAGTATTTCAAAGGCCATTCAACTCAAAGCACAAATTATGTAACAGCACTAGGAGTAGATGTTTTCCTTAACCATAGTTTTCTTTGCTCTTGGTCCTTGCCGGATTTAGTTGCAATTATCACGCTACAGGCTGCTGCACATAGCATCTTTGATTTGATACTTTTTGGCCATTTTTGTGTTATTACATAATTTTAAAGGAATAAATATTTTGAGAAGGGAGAAATGGTAACAAGATGATCAAAAGTAAGTTGTATTCCATTACTTCATTCAGCACTTTAATCTTAGAGTTTACTACCCTCAATGCTTAAAATCAATCAAGTGTTACTCAGCAAGTGGTGCTGTCAGAATCTGTAAGTAATTTTTAAACTAATGAGGTCTTGGCTATTTACTTGAATAGTTGCAGGTTTGTTTCATCTGTTAGGGTTTTTGCCTGAAATAAAAAGGGATTGTAAAGATGCCTTTGAATTAGGAGCCTGTGGCATGTATTGCCTTCCTTTGAACGCTCAATGTGCAACTGAATTGATAATTGAATTTAGAAGGAAACCTGTCAGCACTGATGGTTGTTTTGTAAGGTTGTCCTTACACATGAGGAAGTAGTGAAGCAATAAAGTTCCAGTTGAAATAAATTGAAAAGCATAAAGGTTTTGCAATATCAAGGTGCAGCAGGACTGCTGAACAGAAACATGGTTTCCATAAAGTCAGACTGTATTTGCAATGTTTTTTCTGGGTTTTTTGGTTTGGGTTTTTTTGTTGGTTTTTTGGTTGTTTTTCTTGTTGTTTTTCCCCTGTGTTCTATTTCATCTTACTCTGTTTCACTTTGATGCTGGGAAATGGGATAAAACTGAACAGAATAGAATTGAGGTAAATTGCATAGCTGAAACTAGGAAGGTGTTTGTATTTTCCAAATGTGACCTGTTTTTCTAAACCTTGTCAAAATGCTTGGCTTATGCCAACAAACTAGGTGATGGAAGCTGTCTGTATTGGCTGGTGTTCCTCTACTAGGGCAGTCTGTCATCATTCTCCATTGCTCTGCAATTCATTTATTAATGAGTTAAAAAGAGCCTGGGCTTACTACAAGGTTAAACCTGGAGTATACATTGTCATCCAGACCTCACAGAAAGGGTAACAAGCACAGCTGGAGGAAAAAAACCCAAACCCACACCTGTCATTTGTGTTTGTTTATATGGTCTGAAAATAACTTTCTTGGCTACAAATTCCATATGTAGTAGATCGCAACTCATTTCTGTGACACAGGTACTCATCGCAGTGTACTACCAAGGGCATGCCATGTGGTGCTGTAGTGATAGGAACCGAAGTGGATGTATCGCAGCTGTGATCAGACCATGTTATCTTCTGTGTGGTCTAGAACTAGTGATCTAGTAGGAGCTGGATTTATTTTTAGTGAAGAGTAAGTGTGTTGCTACTAACCTAATCAGCAAATCTAGAAGTGTGTTTTACTGAAGAATTAATTCAAGCTGCTATGAATCAGAATAACATCTGAGTTAGGTC